GCATCCTGCATTCGGGCCCTCTCGTCATGTAAAACTTGAATCCGAGCTTCATATCGGGCGAAACGGTCGCCAGCAGGGCGCTTACACGCATTTCAAAAAAGATAGTTTGAACGAGAGTTTACATGAAAAGTCGGGAGGCCTTGACCCGACATGAGCTTACTTTTACAAGTGACAGTTGAGTGCAACTGCGGAGTGCTACAAACCATACTCTGTAAACTTTCAAATGAGTTGCCTTGAAAACTGACCGCCATTTCATTAGTCTGAGCAGTCGCAGTCGTAGAGACTTGGTCAAAAGAAAAATAGCCACAGTGGTCGCAATTGAGAACATTCTAGAAGAAAAATCTTTGAAACTCTTATTTCAAACAAAAACTTGTAAATATCCAGAATTCGTTCTTGAAGAAAAAACTGCTTTGAAAGCATTGACCTTGTTTGAGACTGTTTCACAAATTTGTCACAATTTTCTTCTCGTTATTTTGATTCAAGCCGTTTACAATGACCAATTTTTTCTCGCCGCACACTGGTGGACTATTCAGTTTTTTTGCAGAATCTCTCTACTCGTTGTATTAACTTTCGGTTGGAGGCTACATAACCAGCATTAGATCCTACTTTTTCACAAGCCTAAATGCTTGAAAAGTTTCGCAGCGCTAGTAAAGACCAGTCCGCCACTGTTTTTTACTTAAAGGCGAAAAAACGACGGATACATCAGAAGTTGAAGTCATAGTTGAATCCAGATAATTGGAGCAAAGGTATTAGGTTGATGCATAATTCCTGCACCAAAATAAGTACAGACCGCAATAATCTGTAATCCTATATCCCAAAGGATTCGATATATCATTAGATAGAGCAGACCTAGCTCTATGAGATGGTCCTCAAATATTTGCACCAGCTTTAATACACCTGAAGTTTTAAGCCTAAAACAGAAAAAAACCATGCGTTCGAAAACCTTAAGATCAATCAAAACAAAATCGTAACTTCGTTCGAAAAGCTCCTACAAAATTTCTTTTTTGCTCACGCGCAAACACTCCACGTAAGACATTTTTCTATGCGGTTGCTGTATTTTCTCTCAGCTAGACGATGAGAGAACGAAGTTTTTTTTTATGTTTTTGCCAAATTAGTGCTGAAATGTTCTAGCACTAACAATTGTATAGTACATGCCGTTAGCAGTAAACTAGTAAACTTTACATTTTCAGCCTTCTAGAACTGCTAGTTCACGAGAAGTGACGAAACTAGCTCTCCTTTCTTGCATAGTTGCTAAAAATTCAATATTTCTCGTGAACCAGCTGCTGTAAAAAGCTGAAAATTCACATTCACGCTTCTAAGGTCTTATAGTATACAACTGTCAGTGCTAGAACATCTCTGATCATTACCTAGCCTTAATTAGGTCACGAAGCCCCGCCTTCCAGAAGCCAAGCCAGTTGAATTAAATGGTATAGCAAATTGAATAGCCATGAACAGATATAACTCAGAGTATAAACTTGAAAGCAGCGGCCAAGCAGATTTTCGTCCTCAAAGTTTTCAATGATCTTGGATCTTTTCATGGCTTTGATTTCAAATTACTTGAGATCCCTTAGGAAAAACTTTTCCTGAAATCCTATTTGGACATTACCGAACGAATCTTTTGGCGCTATCCCCATCGTAAGCAACACCAAATGTCGTCGTATGTAAAAGAGAACAGTTGCATAGTGAGCACCTCGATTGTGCCTGTCAGTCTGGATAGCTCAGGGAGCCGTTTCTGGGCGGGCGAGGCCCGAAAAGGGGGCGAAAAGTTAAAAAATTCTGCGGGTTTTAGGTTAGGAACCCTGCAGACGCAGTTGCTCCACTCCCAAAGCCTTTTTATACACTGTAGACTAATCTGGATAGCAGATTTCTGGGCGGACTTCACCCAACTCAAGTGTTTTGACTGGGCTCTCTTCCACAACAAGTGTAATGCATACAGCTTCAAATCTTCTCAACATTTGTTGTGAGCGTTTCATCTCGATGCGATGCAAAAGCATTTTTTATATGGATGCTTAAAGGCAGTGTCCCATCAGATTGGGGGTGTCTGGCTCTCGTAATGATGTAATAGTAGACCACCTACTTAAGCTATTTTCAAAGTTCGGAGCGAAAAAGGGGGTCTACCAAGCCTGAAATTTGCTCCGAAAGTGGGCCGAATCTTACGGTAGAATCGGGCGAGTGCGAGGTGCATGCAAGGTAGAGACGCAGAGTCGTTGCGGGTCCCTGCGCTCATGATGTGTGCGCTATACGCACTCTGGCCCTGCAAATTGATATTGCCGTGTGGGCGGCGTTCGGCCCTACCGTAAGATTCGGCCCACTTTCGAAGCAAATTTTAGGCTTGGTAGACCCCCTTTTTCGCTCCGAACTTGCTCCGAACTCATCGCCTAGATAGGGGGTCTACTATTACATCATTACGAGAGCGAAGTACCCTTAGTCTGGTGGGACGCTGCCTTTAATACTTGGGAAAGTGAAGTTCGCCGCGCATGAAGCTAAGAAAGATACAAATGATGCAGATTGTCTGCAACCTATGTATCTCTTTCTTGATATCCCTAACATTCTCGCTTCCAAAATCTTATAGAAGACTTCACTCGTGTAGGAAGTATGCAACTACAGAAAGGTTTGGATTTGCTTTGTTTGTACAAATGAGTTATGAGCAGGGTTGGGCAAGAGGCGTGGCACACAACCACCGGATACAACTCCCCCCCCTTAAATTCTGCCTCGTTACCCGTCCCCAACATTTTTGTTTGCCTATCTTAGGCGTGACATAAAAGCTCTACAATGCATAACTAGTAAGATATTCCTGATTATTATATCAAGTAACCCCTGTGGGCCAAGTTTTAGCGAATATTGAGGGTTTCCAATATTAATCCACCCAAGTGAAGTGGCCATTCTCGAAGATGACGTCTTTGTTTTCGAAGTGATTTAGCTAACCTCTATGTACTCGATGCAAAGTACTACTCCATGTTCGCCTATACCATGTATCCTGCTTCAAATAACCGTCAAACCGTGTAGAAGCCAGCCAAAACTTCATTTGACCCATTTTTCCGCTTACAGTGATTGTGCTTCCAGCAGCTATAGATCAAAGCAAAGAAGACAAACTCAGCTTTGATCACTTCCACAAAAACTGCAAGATTTTGGCAATCGAAATGTGTATGATCTGTTCGATAATTCTCTTTGATGGTAAGTTTGTGGGGTGTGGGACCCCAGGAAAGCTGTGGCTGCTGCACTTTCTTAAGGGTTGTGCCACAGCCCATTAACTTACCTTCAACAACTCACATACCTGCATTCTTTATATCTTTACTGCTTAACCTTCTTCTTTACACGGCAAGAATTTCATTTGCAATCGTTTCTTTCGGGAAAAGATATAAAGGTTTTTCTTTACCTATGCAAATGAAAAATACTGCAAAATATTGGGTTACGGTAACATGCTAAGCTGCTACGCTACTACGTGAAACGCAGGGGTAGGCGACAAGAATGCGTACATTTGATAGTCTAAATTTACACGTAATCTTATATATAAAGCTGAATGTCTGTTTGTATGTATGTATGTATGTCTGTCTGTATGTATGTATGTGTGTACGTATGTTCCGAATAGAAAATTCCATTTCTGAACCGATCCGGACCAAACTTGGCACACATACACTACGGGCCCCGGCGGGTGTCATAGGCTACTTTTCGTCATCGATCGATATCGATTTTATCGATTTTTATCGATTTTTTTGCTGAGTTCACCTACGGGGCTGGGAGTTGGCACAGGGGGGTATTCGAGCATGCTGATCATCCCCAAGGGGGGTGATCAGCATGCTTGATTACACCCCTGTGCCAAATTCCAGCCCCCTAGCTCAAATTTTCAAAAAATCGATAAAATCGATAAAAGTAATGGACGATCCTGAAAACTAATATTGTGTTCGTAATCTGCATGCTCGATTACCCCCTGTGCAAACTCCCAGCCCCGCAGGTCAAACTTTACAAAAAAATCGATAAAATCGATAAAAGTAATCGATAATCCTGAAAACCAATATTGTATTCGTAATCAGCATGCTCGATTACCCCCCTGTGCAAAATCTCAGCCTCGCATGTCAAAATTTACAAAAAATCGAGAAAATCAATAAAAGTAACCGATAATTCTGAAAACTAATATTGTATTCGGAATTCCCATGCTCACTTCCCCCCTGTGCCAACTCCTAGCCCTGTAGGTGAACTCTGCGAAAAAATCGATAAAAATCGGTAAAATCGACATCGATCGATAACGAAAAGTGGACTGTGACACCCGCCGGGGCCCGAAGTGTATGTGTGCCAAGTTTGGTCCGGATCGGTTCAGAAATGGAATTTTCTATTCGGAACATACGTACAGACATACATACATACATACAGACAGACAGACATACAAACAGACATTCAGCTTTATATATAAGATATCAGAGCCACTTTGATTACGCCCTCCCCCTCCTCTCGCTGATTCCTCAATACGACCCCCAGTTGTGGCATGCCACACCCACGCTTGACCCTGGTTATAAATATTAAGCTACGAAATAAACTTACAAGGAAAGAGTGTCTATTCGAAGTGGCCTTTTCAGATGGGATCCACACTGCTTTGGAGAGTATTGCGCAGTGATTCCAAATCTGCCTTCGTTATCTGCAAGCGACTGTGGACGCCGAGTTATGAGCGCTTTGCGGGTCAAGAAATTGAACGCAGAACTGAGACAAATTCTTCCAAATTTGCACAAGTGGTTTGGTGCCAAGTATCAGAGCAGTTCATGCAATGGATACATTTTGTCTAATACTACTCAAAATAGCCATATACCTGAGCGTAGAAAAAATTGTAACTAATGAATTTAACTAAAATCTGCAATCATTTTTCTTTCCAAAAAATGGTCATGACTCGGCGTCCAAAGACGCTTGGCAGATAATGAAAGCAGATACGGAGCCATCGTGCAATACTCTTTAAAGCAGTATGGGTCTGATCTGAAGGCCACTTTGACTTAACACGCTCTCCTTATTAGAAACTGCTACCTCCAAGCAACAATGTTTGGTATCTCTCTTCTTTCTAAAACCTTACCCGGGCAACACGTACACCACTGCAACAATAACATCATTGTTAACCAGTTCTCTTCCAATCCATATAGATGTCAGCATTAGTGTTGCTGGTAGCGACACGAAGAACGAGGAAAGCCCAGAAACAACTAGCTTGCTCAGCCAGCGTTCGTTTGAGGCAGAATGTAAAGATATCTGAATTAAAAAAACGCACTGATTGACACTAATACCAGAAAAAAGCGTTTCAATTTTGAGTGGCAACAGCTTACAAGATTCACAGAAAACCAAAAAATCACAGCAATACGCCTAGATGACGTAGAATTGATCATAGATGCGATAGGGGGAGCAGGGTCCCCTTCGGGTGAAAGGGGTTTCGGCTATCTCCGACTCAGCAAAGTGACGGAGAACCCTGCCTTGAGATAAATGCTAGCGTAAGCTTACATGCCAAGTGGGAGTGGGGTGTACAAAGAAGGGAATGAGTTCTACAGAGGGAAATATGAAGATTTTTTCGATCCTTTGGTTTTGAAAGGTCATCGCACAGAAACTTTTTGATTCAGGGAAGTTTTATGTCTCATCAACCGAAGTACCATTCGAAAGCTTGAAACATGCAATCGACATAGACCGTCCACTTTTTCCCAGCTTCTCTGTGAAGCGAGATACGATCAGTTTTATACGCCTTACCAGCTAATTTTGTGTGATTAGTTTGTATTTCTTTTTTGAAAGGAATGAAAAGATAGAAAAAAAAGAAACGGTCTACGTTTACTGGCAAGGTCCTGCTCTGTAATACAGTTAGACAATCAGGCTCTTCATTCATTCTTTACGCAGAAATTTGTTAACAAGACAACACATGTTTTTACCTTGAATGCCATGTATCTCTGAGTAGAGGGGAGGAACCCCTGTTTCGTGAGCTTTTTACCAATATATGAGTTGTTGAGTAAAAAAAATCGTGGCTTTTGAAAATGAGGTGGGAATATTCACTATTAGTTTGCTCCATCCCGCTCTTGGTTTGTATGGATTGCCGGAGCAAGACTTTTTAGACTGGAAAAGCTTTGTGCACTAGCACTTTGTATACCATTCGATAGCTAAGCATATGAGGAAGCTACGTAGACCGTCTCTTTTTTGCCAGCTTTTCCGTGAAGCGAGATACGAGCGGTTTTATCTAGCTACAATATCAACCAATTCTGGGTAATTATCTCATGCTTCATTTTGAAGCCAAGTAGGTCTTTTTTCGAACTTTTATATGTAATTCGAAAGCTTAAGAAACGTTTAATCTAACTGCCCTTTAACTGCATTACTTTTCCTAGTGAAAGGAGATATGATACGATTCTTGTCAGTAAACCTGCGTACATCACTAGCCAGTTTAGATTTTTTACTCTTTCACTCTCTTGCGACAATGTGTGTTCATTAATACAATGTTATATCGAAAAAAAAATCAGGCATCATTTGATTTCTGTTTATGTTCTGTTATCAAAGCCACTTTGAGTGCGCAGGAAGTCTCAAGCATGCGCTTTTCAATAAAATACTGTTGCTTCGATGCTCTCTTGCAGTCTTGATGTCTGAGGAGAAGGGCAGCTAGCGTTTCCTTTCCAAACAAAAAGTGCCCTTGTAACAGCTGTTTAATTCTGACGTTATCCTTTGTTTCTAGTCTCAACCTCAGATGAAAGGGGTCAGCCAGTTGACGGCCTAAAGTGAAGGGGGTCAGAGAAATTTCTCCACCTATCGCATCTATGGAAAAGATGACGCGAAAGACCTCCGTGTGAATTTCATTTGTAAAGTGACCCAATTTTTCACAATGCATTAGTTGCAAGACGTGTTTCTTAGTTGAACAGGTGACTCAGTTGATTTGAAAGATCAGTCCCATGAGAAGTATGCAGTAAGAAAGTTATATTAATTCATTAAAAATTATGTCATACATTCTTCTTTGCAACGATAGATAAGAGTCCGTATGTACATCAGCGTCTTGCAGCAAAGCATACCTACGGATCAATGCAATAATCAAACTTGGGCAAATTATTAGGTTGTCCCATAAGTCTTTTCATTTTTGAATTTTCGCTATAATAAGTCACACAGTTCTTACTCTAAATAGACATCAGGATACCATTCGATAGAGCAAAGCAAGCTCTATAAGATGGCGTTTACGCTTTCGCACAAGCTTTGGTCTATCTCGAGTTTTAAACCAAAATCTAAAAAGTTTCGGATGGCCAAGAAACCGAAATTTTTTTATATCTTCGTTCAAAAAAATCCTACAAACCTCAAACTTGCTCACGTATAAATATTTCACATCAGACATTCATATGTGCTGTTGCTGCATTTTTTTTATCAGCTAGAAATCAAGAAACCGAAAATTTTCATGTTTTTACCAAAGTGATGCTGTGCTGTTCTTACACAAGCAGTTGCATAGTAGAAGCCCTCAGAAGTACTGCAGTAGATTTTTGGCTCTCTATATGCTCTAGTTCACGAGAAATATCAAATTCAGCTTTTTTCACTTGGGTTTTTCACGCTTAAGTCAACATTTCTCGGGAACCAGAGCTTATATAAAGCTAAAAAATTATAGTTTTACTTCTAAGGGCTTGTAGTATACAACTGTCAGTGTAAGAACAGTACAGCATCACTTTGGTAAAAACAGGAAAATTTTCGGTTTCTTGATTTCTAGCTGATAAAAAAAATGCAGCAACAGCACATATGAATGTCTGATGTGAAATGTTTATACGTGAGCAAGTTTGAGGTTTGTAGGATTTTTTTGAACGAAGATATAAAAAAATTTCGGTTTTTTGGCCCTCCGAAACTTTTTAGATTTTGGTCTAAGACTCGAGATAGACCAAAGCTTGTGCGAAAGCGTAAACGCCACCTTATAGAGCTTGCTTTGCTCTATCGAATGGTATCCTGATGTCTATTTAGAGTAAGAAGTATGTGACTTATTACAGCGAAAATTCAAAAATGAAAAGACTTATGGGACAACCTAATACCTACACTTGCAATGTTCATCAGTTCCAAATCTATTCTGCAGATTGAAATATTAGGGGAGGAAAATCTTGCTATCTTCTTCCCCTCCCTTTACATGCATACTTCAACCACCCTCTTCGCTCTTCGCCTCCCCACCTTCGGAAACTTTCTCATGCATGACAGAAGACAAGACAAATGCAAGGAAGCAGCACGAGGATTTTGAACCCTTACATCCTTAAGTCCATGCTGAATGACTGCTCATATTGAGCATGCAAGGAAAATACTTGCTGAACTTTATGTATTATTTTATGTTTGTAGGAAAAGAGAACTTGAAGCAAAATTTGTATAAAAAGTAACCTTTTAGCTTACACGGTGCGCATGGAACAACGCCTGTGGGAAGTTAAAGGTATGACGCTTTGAAACTGCAGCAAAAGTGTGACAGTCATATGCTCCACCCTTTCTGGGGCCGATATGCACTAAAAACTTGCGCTGATGGAAGCAATGCCCCGTTAGCGGTCGCTTGCGGACGCCTGCGGCTTTCTCGTCATTGCGGACGCCGCTCCCCTCGCCGAAGAGATGTTGATGCTTCAGGACATGAATCATGCACAAGTGCAGTGTCGGAAGAAATCAATGACTATGAATCAACATGATCATCTCGAAGTGTGAAAGTCTGTTTATCGCACGTACGCGTTACAATCCAAATGAGAGGTGGGGTGGGGGACTTTATCAAAAAAAAGCGCGCGCTCAGGCAGGCATCTGCCAGTAAGGTGCGTACCATTAACCCTTCTCTAGCTATATGGACGAGTTTTCTGCACTACAGGTTCAGCAGTGGTTCATGTAATATTCATTAGTCTACTTGAAAACAGTTTTTGATAATAAACTGTGAGTGTGCAAAAAGCTCCTCTAAGCTTCTAAGAGAACTTTAACAAAATCGCGATTTTTCATTGTTCTTATTTTTTGATCAGTTTATAAGATAGTTATATCTTGAATAAAAGTTTTAAAGTTTTGATGACTTAGCTTGGTAGTTGATCAAGTGGCTGATTTCTAGTTCTAAAGTGTGAAAAACAATGTCAACTATCTCAGGCGTGATTGTCCGAGTGACCTCACACTTTTGGACAAGATCACAAGCAATTTCGCGTGGGTTACTAGTTGCTTTCTACTAAGGGTAGCAGTTTTTGGAGTTAACGCAAAAGCATTTCTTTGTTAAAGCAAAAGATCATGAAGATTTCATAAGGCACGACTTCCCAGACTTTCATAATCTTAAGGCCGGTCCCCTAGACTCTGCGCATCTTTCGCGAACACTTCGCTCTCTAATCATTTTCCTACCGCGAGCGCGTGAAAGGCGGATCCTCATTCAATTGCAAATGGATGGCATGTTCGCGGAAGGTGCAGAGTCCCGCGCGGGAGCGAAGATGCTGGTGCACTCGACACTGCAACTAATAAGCCTTGTATGTATGAATTATTTGACGTGAAACTTTAACCTTAAGCGTTTGAAACAAATTTCACTAAAAGTTTTAATGCAAAATTGAGCCAAAACATCAAACAAAACACCTGAATCAAAAAAGCGTGTGAACCATTCCAAATGAAGAACAATTCTGAAAGAAAATTTTTAAAATTATATGAGTTTCTGTAATTTTACCGTATATTTTTGGAATGCAGCTATGATACAAGCATAAATGACTTATAAAAGAACTTTTTCCAAATGAAAAACAAATAGTATATGAAAAAAAATTGCCTAGGTTGTAAAGACAGGCTTAGCTAAATTAGAAAAAGACGCATTCTTGTTTGTTCCATTGTCTGAAGTTGCGATTATGCACAAGAGTGCTTGTGCTGCATAGAATGTTTGAGAAGCAATTAGATATTGAGACAGTGCAACATGCTTTGAACCGCGTATTCGCCCGCAAGAAAGCCTGCATTTTCAGCTTTTGGTAAGCAAGGAGATCTCATTTGAGGATTGAGTACCATAACCAGTCAGCAAATCGAATACTCCATGTCCAAAACTTCGATGGACTGCAAAGCTTCTAAACTTTGTCATTTGAGAAGGACCGAGGTTCAATCGTTGGAACAAGAAAGCTCTGACATACGGTATCAAGTTCACCGACGTCGCACACTGTGCTCATCGTTAACACAAACCCCGACTTTCTTTTGCAGATTGAAGCAGAGAAAAACTGCGACGTTGCACGTGTCGTTCGCAACGCCACACTGCCTGGTGAATAGGTTGGTGCAGAATTAATGTCCGTTTCGCGAAGTTCCACTTTGAAAAGCTACAACTTCGTCCAGTCTTCATATTTTTTGATTAACCGAGACCATCAGAAGCTCAAACTTTTTTTAATTTAGAGCACACATGCTCACACTGATACCGCAAACGGAGACAACATCATACGACAAACAATAGGAAGTTTTTTCTGAAAAATTCGTTGTAAAGAGGTTACAACTTATTTTATGTTTTGGTTCCTATGACTGGTAATCCGCTTATTTTGTAGCTGCAAGCTAGTAGTATACATGTGCCTAAGAAGGACTTCAACGAAGGACTTTTTCGAAAGATACAAAGTTCGAGGCTGTCCACTTTTCTGAACCTACTTATGCTACCTAAAAGTCGCAGACAAGAAATATTCGAAATTTTTCATGCGCTGAATAGCTACGTTTTTCTGAAAAAATTCTAGGATGTCCTAATCTCAAGCTTACAGAAATGAGCGAAGCTTCAGGATTGCTTTAGTGGGAAATATTTGGCCCATAGAATGCCAACAGCGATTATTCAGTTTGGGACGTAGTTTTCCAGTCCAGATAATTTCGAAAAATCTACTTAAACATGCAATAGGCAAACAATAATTATCCCATACAGTGACTATGTTTTCAAGAGAATTCGCTCTTTTGCGTCCGAATTGTGGCCAACAAAGTGAAAGCATTACAATTTCGATTTGAGGACGACTGTGTAAAAGGCTAGTTGAATTTACACATGGAAAGCTTTCCAATGATATGCAAAATCTCTACCGAAAAAGAAAGCTTGGAAAAAAAGTTGTTCGCGAAGTAGGCCTGAAAAAACGGGCATTATTTTTGCACCAATCTAATAATATCTTGGACCATAAACTTCTCGTGGATTCCACACGGATTTAAAGCACTCTAATGTATGATGTGCAACATTAGTCCGAAGACGTTATTTTGATACTTGGGCACTTGTTCCAACTCACCCTCAAAGTGGCAGATTTCTGGCTCACTCTGTGGCGCATTCTGTTCTGAAAAGGTATTTATACTTGGCTTTTTTTTTCGAAGTAAGAAAGTGTACCAATGCAATGCCCATTACGATAGATGAGCCAAACGATGCAAAAGAACTGAAGCTGATGAATATGAAGTGAAATGTTGCAAACCTAAACAGAAACCAACGGCTGCTGCATGGCGAAGGCGCAATACCCTTGGGCGCGAACGCGGCTTTATTAGCCGCAGCGCATAAGGCACAGGATTTACAACGGTGAAGATACGCGCGCGCCGAGTTCGCGCCCACTCACCTAATACTGCTATTGCGCCTTCGTCATGCAGTAGTCTTTAACTAAAAAATCAGTTCAAAAATTTTGCGCGCTAAATCAAAATCACAACCTCCAATTTTTGATATGATAAATTCAATTAAAAATTGTTTTTGGTTATCCTAAGAGTGGTTACCTAAGAGTGGTTACTATATCTCGCACAACAATTATGTGAAAGAGATCTGGAGGTGCATAGGGTTTCGTTTTATCTTTTCATGAAAAACAAAAACCAAAAGAACAGAGCGTTTGACTAATCTTATATATAAAGCTGAATGTCTGTTTGTCTGTCTGTCTGTCTGTCTGTATGTCTGTCTGTCTGTATGTCTGTCTGTCTGTCTGTCTGTCTGTACGTATGTTCCGAATAGAAAATTCCATTTCTGAACCGATCGGGACCAAACTTGGCACCCATACACTTCGGGCCCCGGCGGGTGTCATAGGCTACTTTTCGTCATCGATCGATATCGATTTTATCGATTTTTATCGATTTTTTTGCTGAGTTCACCTACGGGGCTGGGAGTTGGCACAGGGGGGTAATCGAGCATGGGGATTCCGAATACAATATTGGTTTTCAGGATTATCGATTACTTTTATCGATTTTATCGATTTTTTTGCAAAATTTGAGCTACGGGGCTGGGAGTTGCCACAGGGGGGTAATCGAGCATGCTGATCACCCCCGTGGGAGTGATCAGCATGCTCGATTACACCCCTCTGCCAAATTTCAGCCCCCTAGCTCAAATTTTGCAAAAATCGATAAAATCGACATCGATCGATAACGAAAAGTGGACTGTGACACTCGCCGAGGCCCGAAGTGTATGTGTGCCAAGTTTGGTCCGGATCGGTTGAGAAATGGAATTTTCTATTCGGAACATACGGCGGAGCCGGGTAAGCCAGCTAGTCTAACAATAAAAAATTCTGCCCGGGTTTTGATTGTTGCAAGAATCTCTACAATCAAGTCACTTGCAGAAAATCAACCCTGTAAATTTAAGCGCTCAGAGTGGACACTGGAGAATGCCAATACGCATCCATGTTCGACTATCCATGAATTTTGGCATAGTTGCAATCTTCTCGTTAGTTGCTTGAGCGTAATCCAAGATTGGTACAGAACTTTATCGCACAGAATAACAGACGTTTTGGCGAACTCGCCTTCTTCAGAGTCTGAAAAAGTCGAAGACACACTAGTAAACTAGTAAATTAGTTCTGTACCAATCTTGGATTACGCTCAAGCAACTAACGAGAAGAATGTCAATACACTTGCTACAAAAACGCTTCATCTTATATATTAGGTCATTCCGAAAGTAATTTCGCTTTTTTCAAACGGGCGCCACATTTGATAGAACAAAGGTTTTCAAGAGACTCTGGTAGCATTCCAGCATTTCATTCTCTTTCTAATGGTTATGAAACTGTTGCAAAACAGTCAATGAGCTTTCAGAAAATAACCAAAATCTGCTACCTATGCTTTTTGAGATAGTCAAGTTTCACAATTTTTCAAAACTTTCATATCAATTCTCAGAAAAAGTTCAAGTGAAGGTTCGATAGAGCAAACCTCATAGAATACAGTGCAACTTTTTTCTCTTTTCCGTAGCTTGTCATACATTTTTAACAGAATTTTAACTGATATCACCGATTTTCATACTTGGACAGCTAAATCCTAGTAGAACATCAAACTTTGAGCAGCTCGGTTGTCATTCGATGCAGCTTTTTCTCCTCTTTCTAATGGGTGTTTTTTGTTTCCGATTCGTTTAGTTTCTGGGGATAAAATTATCATAACTCATTTTTTTAGGGAGCCCCAGGCTGTACCCGAAAAACTCGACCCTCACTTGCTATGTAAAATTGATGCTAACTCATAGTACCATCTTGGTAGTCTCAAATTCCGAAAAATTATGATGTTTGATGGAATTGTGGTTGAAGTGGGCCTGCCAAAATTCGATGGTTCTGCTAAAAAAATCTTTTAAAAAATTACGGCGAGCTACGAGAAAGGGAAAAAGTAGCGTTGTATTCTATAAGTTTTACTCTATCGGATCTTTGCTTGAAATCCTTCTGAGGATTGATATGAAAGGTTTAAAAAATCGTGAAAATTGACCATCTCAAAAAGCATGGGTCGCAGATTTTGATTATTTTCTGAAAGCTCATTGACTGTTTTGCAATAATTTTATAACCATTAGAAAGAAAATGAAATGCTGTTTCGAATGGTACCAAGATCTCTTAGAAATCTTTGTTCCATCACATGCGGCGTCCATTTGAAAAAGCGAAACTTTCGGAATGACCTAATATAAAGCTGAATGTCTGTTTGTCTGTCTGTCTGTCTGTATGTGTGTACGTATGTTCCGAGTAGAAGGTGATCAGCATGCTCGATTACACCCCTCTGCCAAATTCCAGCCCCCTAGCTCAAATTTTGCAAAAAATCGATAACATCGACATCGATCGATAACAAAAAGTGGACTGTGACACCCGCCGGGGCCCGGTGTGTATGTGTGCCAAGTTTGGTCCGGATCGGTTAAGAAATGGAATTTTCTATTCGGAACATACGGCGGAGCCGGGTAGCCAGCTAGTAGCTAATATAATGATGCCTAATATAATGATGCCTAACATTTTCGTTAGGAAAACGGTGACAACTGCGTTTATTTATGCGTGCTGCAAATTCAGAAACAGGTTTGGAATCAGCGTGTCCAGCTTCACTAAGAATATGCACAATGCAATGATTAGCCACTCCATTCGTGACTCTTTCTTGTTAGAGCAAAGCTTACGTAATTAGGGCAATTTCAGAACAAATTTCTCCCAAAAGGTTCCTGGTAGCTAAGTTTACGAAGATCGGGCAGAAATCAGAAAACTTCCATTTCAATTTTCTTGCAACGGATTGTAGATGAATATCCTCCAGAAATCATGAAGAATTGTTTACAATGCTAGCACACAATCTTTACATTTGAGTACATAAATCAATCCGATTTTTCATTTCCGTAAACTTACGAAGCAGGCAATGCGAGGTCAAAACAGTTCCAAAGTGACTTAACGACTGAAAGTGAAACTGAGCTTGCACTTTGAACGTATGTTCACTAACCAAAAAGCCGTACTATCCAGTATAAAACACCTTGAAGATTCCAGAATTCTGTTTCCGTCTAGATATGCTGATATACATGCTGCAGAGATTGAAATCTAAAGATAAGGTTTGATTAATGCTTTCATTAAAATGAGCAGTCTTTCTCTGACATATTACAGAGCATTCAAAGAATGCTGATCATTCTGGGGTATTATGAAAACTCACCAATCCTGCGGTGGGAACAAGCAATAGTAAGCGATTTTTCATGCCCGACATTTTAAGATTAGGATGGAATGTTATTCTCAGCTTCTCGCATGAGGCCAACAGTTGGCAGAAAGCACGCAACTCAGTGCCAAGAATGAGAGCATGAGGCCAGCATGTCTGAACTTCATGATAGAAAGTAGCAAAAGCTAGGAAGATCAAGGCAACTTTTTTCTACATCCAACTGCAAAGTTTTCATTTACGTTTTCTAAGACAAGGAATTTGTGATGTGGATGCGTTCACAAATTTAGCAAATAAAGTATTAGCACTTATACTACACTAAACATTGTAATAGTTGTTGTGAGATAGACATAGAAATTTACGCGGCTGTAATGGCAACACCCCCACAATGGTCGGCCGCCTCATCGTGGCGTGGGGGTGACACTGGGTGTCGAACTGCGATGCACAGCCGAGTGTATACTCTGGCAGGGCCTCCCAAGCTGTGAAGGAGTTCGACGTTTCCGGTTTCGGCCGGATGCCTAGCTAAGAGCCGGCCAGGCCAGATCCGCCGCCGTCTGGTTTTCAGGTCGCTAGGCGGTTCTCCCCGCTCCAAGCCCGGGGTCAGCGATCACCCCGTGGAAATCAAGAGTTGGCCTAGTAAGTCTGCTCTTGTAGGGGAAAAATTTCATTACTCTACCAGTTAGAAGAATAGAAAGAAACCCTGTACATCGGATCCCGCCTACGGCGCCGGGTGGTAGCAAGGCTGATGTCAGGGTCCTCAGGGCGCCTTTTGGATTGGACAAAAACGACACGTCTGCCCGGACGACACGCCACGGAGACTGCCTCATGCTCTACCTACAACGCCAGGACAGTCTCCACAAACGCCGACCTCCACGCTCTTCTCGACGCTGCAGAGCACATCAAGTACCACATCATCGCTCTGCAGGAAACGAAGTCCAGGAAGAAGGACGTGCGACAGATGAATGATGGAACACTCATCATTCGTGGTGAGAAGGTTCCATCACGAAACGTGGGAGGTGTTGGCTTTGTCGTCCACCCATCTATCGTCCATCTTGTCGATTCGCACGAGATCCTATCACCCCGACTAGCCATCCTACGACTACGCCCTCCACGTCAGAAGACCATCAGCATCATCAACTGCTACTCTCCAACATCAGCAGCTGACGACTCAGAACTAGATGCTTTCTACGAAGACGTGGAGGAGGTCGTCCGCAACGAAAAGTCCTTCCACAAGTATGTGGTGGGCGACTTCAATGCGAAAATCGGGATGCCACTAGAAAAGGAATATAGGATCGGGAAGTTTGGATATGGGCTCCGGAACGAAAACGGCAACCGTCTTGTTGGGCTTCTCTCCGCCGCACGACTTTTCCATGGAAATTCCATCTTCATGAAGAAAGAACATCGCCGGTGGACATGGGAATCGCCCAACGGAACGACTCACGCGGAGATCGACCACATTCTCGCCAACCGAAGGTGGAGCTTGCTCGATGCCTCAGTAGTTCCATCCTTCTGCAGTGGCTCCGATCACCGCCTCCTTCGAGCGAAGATACGACTCAGCCGAAGGCTGGAAAAGAAAGTATGTCACAGTGTCGCGAGAAGGAAGGAAGTCGTTTACGACGGTAACAGGCTGGAGGAGCTCATATCAAGATGTGACTGGCCCATCGAGGAGGACCCAACGTATGACTACGACCGGCTTCTGAAAGGATTGCGAGCCTGCGGAGAATGTGCCTCAGTGACTTTTGAGAAGAACTTGGAACGTATATCGAAGACCACCAAGGAATTGCTCGAAAGAAGAAGATTTCTGAGGCAGGATCCGAATGCAACCCATCTCGAGCGACTGATAGCCAACGCCAGTTGCAGAACAGCTTTGCAGGAGGATCTCAGGAAGTACAGGCAAGCCAAGATACTGGAAGCAGCCGAAGAAAGACGAAGTCTTAAGAAATGCCGAAGGGACCTCTGTGAATATCACGTACCGCTGGCTGCACTATTGAACGAAGACGGGACTCCGACTTCTTCCCGATACAAGATGGAATCTATCGTGAAGAACTTCTATACCAACCTCTTCCGCTCATCAACACCCGTGCCGATGCCCGTTGTTCGCACTGGAGAAGTACCACCACGAATTCTACCTGCTGAAGTGCGCACGGCGATCCAGACCATGAAGACATCCACGGCTCCAGGACCAGACCATCTTTCCGTCGAATTTCTGCGAGCCGGAGGACAACGTCTACACGAGATTCTCGCGTCGCACCTGACATCTTACCTTCAGAAGGAGAGGATTCCCGACCAGTGGAGAACGTCAAGAACCGTCCTTCTTTTTAAGAAGGGTGAACGGGAAGATCTTCGAAATTACCGTCCAATATGCCTGCTGAGTGTGCTGTACAAGCTCTTCACGAAGATTATCCTCGCACGCATATCTAGGACACTGGATGAAGCTCAACCCCAAGAAGAAGCTGGATTTCGCAAAGGATTCAGCTGCATGGACCACATCCAGACGGTTTCGAGGGTCATAGAAGTCTGCCGGGAGTACCGACTGCCTCTCGTCCTAACCTTCGTCGACTACGAGAAAGCCTTTGACAGCGTCGAAACCAACGCCATCCTGTCTGCGCTAGTCGATCAAGGAGTGGAACCAGCTTACGTGAGGACACTAGCCGACTGCTACAAGGACTGTACAACAACGATGCAGCTATTCCATCGCCCCCTAACCATTCCAATTGGGAAGGGGGTTCGACAAGGCGACACTATTTCGCCGAAGCTGTTCACCGCGGCCTTGCAGTGGGTGATGAAGTCACTAGACTGGGAAGAGAGAGGCATACGAGTTGATGGGAGATTCCTATCCAACCTTCGTTTTGCGGATGACATCGTCCTTTTCTCGAGCAGTATCACTGAAGCAGAAACGATGCTGAAGGAACTAAACGAAGTAGGGAAGAAGATCGGACTGCGAATAAATCGGAAGAAGACTCAGTTCATGAAGAACGCCCTTTGCGAAGATGCAGAAATGGAATTGGAAGGCACCCCTATCATGGAGACGTCTTCTTACGTGTATCTCGGACGTTCGATGAACATGGAGAATGACTTGAGGGAAGAACTTAACAGGAGAAGAAGAGCAGCCTGGGCCGCCTTCGGGCCTCTGAAGGAAGCCACCGACCAACTGACGGACCCGGAGCTTCGTGCCCACCTGTTCGACTCAACCGTTCTCCCAGCGCTCTGCTACGCAGCTGAGACTTGGGCCGATACCGTAGCCACGTCGAAAGCTTTAAGGACCACCCACAGAGCGCTCGAGCGCAGTCTTCTGAAGATGACCCGACACAAGCAACATCTAGTCGGACTTCGCAGCACGGATATGAGAAGAATGTCCCGTCTTCGTGACCCAGCGGAATACGTTGCGAAAGCGAAACACCGATGGGCCGGTCACATAATGAGAAGAACGGACGATAGATGGACACTAAGAACATCTGAGTGGATTCCTCGCGAAGCCAAACGTCCTCGAGGAAGACCACCGACGAGATGGGCAGACGTGTTCGTGGAACGGATGGACCAGCTGAGAAATCAGCTGGATACGATTCTTGCCCCTGGAACTCGTGGACGCAGCCACCGACGACGACCAAGAAGATCGTGGATGTCCGAAGCGAGGGACAGGGATCAATGGCGACTTCTGTACTGGGGCCCGCACGTCACGTGAGGACGGGCCATCTAAGTATCTAAGTAAGTAAGTAAGTAATGGCAACAAACGGTTTTTATGGCCTAAGGCATACCTCCCGCGATTCCAGTCGCCTCGCAATGCAGCGCCCGCACCACAACCTGTGGTCCCGCTCCCGCTGCATACTGGTTAGATTGACGCTACGACGAATCGCCGGCCTTTTTCGGGCGGGCATACTCTCAGCAGGGATATCGTTGCGACATCGCTCAAACTCAGCGATGTCGCCGTCGCTGTTCTGCACCAGCGATGGGCGAATCGCTCGAATGGCTTCTTCTTTGTGGGAGGTTTTGTATTTTTTGGAAATGCGAATCTCATTTAGAACTACTCTATCTCACACAACTGCTTCCTCTCTGCATGAGGGAGGAATGGTCATCGAGCATTCCATACTATTTATTCTTGGAATAAGCACATGCGAAGTATGTAGTACCAGTGCGTCACCTCTGCTTCGCAGAGGTTCGCACTGGCCCTATCTTCTGTAGCCTTACTCATTTCCGCATAGTAATTGCACTGAAACTCACCACGCTATGCAGGCTATCACGAATGATTTAAACAACTACTCATTCCTAAAGCTTTTTCGTGTGAGGTCGGTATTTTCGCGTGGATGAAACTTCTCCCAGAAGAATATATGCAAATTTGAATCGGTTTTTGGGTCTCTTATGGCTTGGTAGTCGCCATAAGGGCAATAATCATCGTGGGCTACATCTCTGTGCAAAAATCTCCTCAAATGGTCAATTAAATTCTTGGTAAATTGAACATTTAGGCAACTAATTTTTTTTGGCGCCAACTTCGTAAAGTAATCAATTTTAGTTCAGTTTTCTGGGCTACGGTCCATGGCTTCCACATTAGCTTGTCGAACATATCCACAACTTCGCAAAAAGTGGTGGTACAGGCCCAATTTTGCTGGCCAGAAGCAAAATGGATCCGCTTGACGCGCGATTTTTGAGGGATCCACTTAGCGGATCCGCTCGTGCTTTCGCATAGTGGACTTTCGCGCTGCTCGCATGCGCCATGCAAAAATTGGGATCAGGATGTTGGCTGGAACACGCTCCTCGAATTTCGTAACGAACAGACAGACAGACAGACACACACACAAAAAACGTAAACAACCTTAGCCCGTTATTATAAGTTATGATAAGAGCTTCACCTCTGCTTCGCAGAGGCTCGCACTGGTCCTACTTTATATGCCTTACTCATCCCCGACTAATGATGGTATTGAAACTCACCGCGCAGTGCAAATTATCGCGAATAAAATGTAAACGACTACTCATTTTGAATGCTTATTCGTGTGAGATTGGTGATTTCGCGTGTTTGAAACTTTTGGCAGAAGAACAAATACAAATTTAAATACTAGACTGTTTGAAAAGTTGTCCGATTTTCAATTGCCTAGTTTTAACGCAGCTATTTTCTTAGGGTTGCACTTATGGCATTGTCATAAACATCATCTTAAAATACTTTTCCG